GAAGCAAATGACAGGTAATCTTCTCTCTTGCTGCCACCTCTGCCCTGGAAGTTGTGGTTCTTAGTGACTTGCAGGGAAAGGGGGTGAGAAAGCATCAGTTTTGCATCTTCTTGGAACCAGTGTTATGAACTAGAGATAGGGCGACACTGTTGCACAAGTGCAGCTGAGCAAAAGACATCTTGGGCCCTTAACACATTTGCCCATGCACATCAACTTAGCAGGTAGGAGCTGCTGGCAAAATGGGGTCTTCCAGATAGGAGTCTTCAGGAGTTGAAGAAGGAAAACCTGTGTTCTTAGGTATAGGGTTTCTAGTGGGGAGGGAAGGCGCTCTTTGGTTTCAAATGTTGAACAAGCATTTGTAGTTCTTTTTGAATAGCTACTTCTTCCTTTGTTATTGTGCTTTTAGGAGGACCATTTCTAGAAAGAGAACATGTAATTGGTTGCATTTTTTTATATTACTTAGTTTTACTAGGAAGTCTGCACAGACTGTTATTCTGTCAAGCCCAAAGTTGATCTGGGAGTCAGGAGATGGTGGTACACACCTTTAATCCCAGCACTCTGGAGGCAGAGGCAGCAGGTCTTTGTGAGTTCAAGGCCATCCTGATCTACAGAATGAGTTCCAGGACAGGCTCCAAAGCTACAGAGAAGCCCTGTCGCAAACAACAACAACAAAGAAAGTTGATTTGGTGGCTATTTATTTTCACTCCACTTTTGATCAGAAAGAAAAGTATACTCATAGGTCTAGAAGGACAAGAAAATTTAAAATGCTTTGTTTTTTCTGTATTAGATGTTCCAAATCACTTTGTAATTCAGTCTTTTTGAATGTGTAATAGTTATTTTTGCCATTAGCTATGATACATAAGTAACTATTTGCAATATCTGCAGCAATGATAACGTATTTTACTACTGTATATTTTAGTATTTATATTTTTCTTACTTAGGAGGTGTCAAAACTCCGATCTCAGCTTGTTAAAAGGAAACAAAATGAGCTCAGACTTCAGGGAGAATTGAATAAAGCTCTCGGCATCAAACACTTCGACCCTTCCAAGGCTTTTCATCATGAATCTAAAGAGAATTTTACCCTCAAGACCCCATTAAAAGAAGGTAAAAAAGTAATAATAAAATAAAATAGTGTATTTATGTACCTGTCTTCATTCTTCCCCCCTTTCTATCTCAGCAGTTGGTGATTTAACTTTTTTATGAACTATGAAATTTGTTGGTATTTTCTAATATAGAAGAAATTCCTTTTGATATTGGTATATCAACTCCACTTTCCTCCTTTTTACTCTACTTCTATATATCTAGATTCACTTTCCCCATTCAGACTACATCTTCCTTAGTCTTTTATTGCTCCTACTAGCATTCCCTCCTTTATCTCTTCTGTACAGTTTGTGCCTTGTTCTCAGATTTGGTTTTCTGTTTCCTTCCTCTTTTCCAAAGATGAATGTTCTCACTCCATTTTACAGATTAGGAATCAACTTCTTAGGAGCAGAAGATGACTGGGTACTACTATTTGGACAGCTCAAAGAAGCACAGTGTAACACTCTCCCCGACCCTTGATCCCTGCAGCTGCTGGCCCTCACTCCCCGCCCCGAGCAAGGCCAACCCCCGCTGGATCGCTCCGTCCCAAGGCCAGCCATCTGGACCAGCAGAAGATAAGGCCGTTTCGCCTGACTATTAAACCTTGAGAAAATGCTGATTTGATGCTTTTCGCTTCTGTACTGTGCCTGTTTTCCCCTATAAAAAGGACCCT